TTCCTTTCAGTACCTCCAGACACGTTAACACCAACAAATGCGTGGCTATGAACCTTCTCTCATTCCAGCATGGCATTCCTGTTAGCACACAATCCACAGAGACTCCCTTCTATGGTCCCTTTAAATAGTCTTGTAGGTTTTGGCAATAGAAAACATCGTTATCCAACCCTCCAATTCATTGCCCTCTTGTCTTCAAGATCTATTTGAAGGCCCCCAAACATAACCCTGTTCTATTCAGTGAACCTTGCCTCAGTATGTTCAGAACTGCCAAACAGGAAGCACAAGCTGTAGCAAATCCAATGTATTTAGCTTTCTATTTACCTATTGCTTCTTCTCTGTTCAACCTATGGCTTCTCTGTTCATTCCCATGGCAACTTCAGAACATCTGGGCATTCTGGTCAGAAGCTAGGAATACTGCGGCAAGTAACTCACCTCCTGACTGCTCAAAGCCTGTCCACCATCTACAAGGCACAAGTCAGGAGTGTGATGGAATAATCCCCACTTACCTGGAAAAGTGCAATCCCACAACACTCAAGAAGCTTGACACCATCCGGGACAATGCAGCCTGCTTGATTGGCATTATATCCAAAAGCATCCGCTCCCTCCACCACCAATGCTCAGTAACAGCAGTGTATATACTATGTACAAGATCCACTGCAGAAACTCACCACAATCCTCAGACAGCACCTTCCAAACCCATGACCATTTGCATCTGGAAGGACAAAGGCAGCAGATATCTGGGAACACCACCAATTTCAAGTTCCCCTCCAAGCCACTCACCATCCTGACTTGGAAATATTTTGCCATTCCTTCACTGTCAATGGGTCAAAATGCTGGAATTCCCTCTCTAATAGCATTGTGGGTCAACCCACAGCAGGAGGACTGCAGCGATTCAAGAAGGCAGCTCACCACCACCTTCTCAAGGGCAACTAGGGATGGGCAAGAAATGCTGGCCAACCAGTGACGCTCACATCCCACAAACAAGTAACAAAAAAAAACCAACATACCTCCAGTGGTACATTGGGAATACCAGAAGTGAAAGAGATTCTTAAATCTCAAAAGAGTTATCATTGGCAAACTTACAGATACAGTGAGAAATGTGGACCCTGATAATGTGGGACTTGTCCTCCTCATCCAGCCACATTTAGCCTCAGCGTGTACAGCAACTTAGTTAAAGTGCCATGCCGGCTGAATGACCACCCATTGTCATTAAGAAGAATGTGCTTTCAGCATTCTAACACCTTTCTTATCCTAGAAACACATCAAACATTTCTCACTGCATTCAGTATGGATCATGTTAAAGTTGACAGATAATAAAGCAATAGCTTTTGGCTCCCACAACAACTCCCACGATACACATTTGGCCAGAACTGGTCTTTTTTATTGTCATTGCTGCTTATTTCAACATCTTTGAGCTGCCCATGTACAATTTACAAGCACCAATGGCATTATGCAAAATACCTTTGACAAGCATCCAACCTCAAAGTACCTTTAGTTTGTGTGCTTAGCAATTAGGCAATGAGACGATTGCAAGTTAAACGTAGCCAGGGTTTATAAGTGGCTGCTTCATGCTTTCATTTCTTCAATGTTCCAGCTTCCAGCTTCCAGCAAAAGTGATTTCCTTTCTTTTGCCCATCAAACTGACACTGATTCTGTCCATTCATTTTCTAGTAGCCTGTAGAGAATAGAAAGTGACGACAGAGGACACAGCTTACAGTGGGCACCAAAAACAGCAGGCTTCGCCTGTTACTAGGTGTTCCCCCAATACCTGCATGTCAGGTAAATCAAATCCATCAGACTACCACCCATTTGAGACATCTTGCAATTATTGAGAGTTTTCCTTTCTTGCAGGTTAACAAGACAAGGTACACTACACCTGTCCCAACATGACACTGACATGAGCTGTTGTGCTCTTCAGTGGTTCTGCTTTCTTAGTTGTACCTTTTGTGAAGGTGGCTGACTTTTCAGTAATTCAACTGACCACTTGCTCCCACAGTGATAGGGAGAACCATGGCCACTCAATATCTCAGCTCATGTAAATGCTGCCTGTTAGAAGCCTGTTACCTGGCATTGCTTGCCAATCATTTTGCTGCTGTCATCCTTTGCTGCTGACCTCTATCACCACATACATTCAAACTCTCTTGATGTGTCTTGAGAGCAATTCTTCCACCAGATGCCAAGAATGGTATGTTGTGCCTGTAGGCCCACTGTCTGGATTAAAGTTTCAAGAAAGGCATCAGAGAAATTTATTGCACCCATGGCTGTCAGTCTATGCCAGTATCGACCATGTGAACACACTGTTGTGTTCTGCCATTACCAATGACAAGCTCAGTCATGTCAGGCCTTATCTTTTCAAAGGACAATCAATTTACCAGGCCCCGCCTCTGGGCTGAATCTGGTACCACTAATTGGACACTAAACATACTCCCAGAGCAAGTATAGTCCTGACGTTGAAAATTGTGGGGCAGGTTCAGTGCCAGGAAGTGATCTGGTCATCAAGATTACAATTGAATCTTTCCACAGTTTCTGACAGATTTGCTGAGAAATCCAGCATTTTCTGTTTCTTGAAAAATACATTGATATTTTTCATACAAGCAATTTCACCAGAAAAGGCTTAAAACAGAATGCATTTTTACTTTTGGATTAATGTAATCAGCACTCTAATAAAGTATAAATGCTCGTTTTCCTCTCAAGTTGGTTTTGTAAATTGTCCTGATGAGTGCAAAATGTAATGTTTCAACAAATTGTTTCTTTTTTCAGAAGTACTCAAATTTTGCACTACCAAATGGCTACTAATGTAACTAATAAGTAATCTGAGATTTCCAAGTCAACATCTTTCTTCGAACTTTATAATAATAATTTTCCTTTCAAAGGTGGGTGGTTGGAGGAGGCAATATTAGGAGAAAGGGGGAGGGGTAGTTTTAGAGTCTTTACAAGTGAATCTATTATGTTTTTCCAACAAAGGACACAAATTGCTTTTACATTGTTGAACATGCCCAACAGTTACTTACCTCTGACAAAAAGGTGCAGGGCTGGATGAACACAGCAGGCCAAGCAGCATCATAGGAGCAGAAAGGTTGATGTTTCGGGCCTAGACCCTTCATCAGAAA